AATGTTGTGTTTCCCGAGGTTTCTCCTCATTCCCAGCATAAGGCGCTAGTCGATTCAGGCGCAGCTTGGAATTTTATCGATTGTCAGTTTACCTATAAGTTAGGGATTCCTATTGTTCCAGTTGATGTGCCCTTCCCTATCCATGCCCTAGATAGCCACCCCTTGGGGTCAGGGTTGATTAGGGAGGTCACAGCGCCTCTCAGGATGAAAACGCAGGAGGGCCATGAGGAGATAATTAGATTGTATCTGATTGATTCTCCTGCGTTTCCCGTGGTGTTGGGGCTTCCCTGGTTAACTTCTCATGACCCCAACATTTCATGGCAACAGAGGGCTCTCGAGGGATGGTCTGATCAGTGCTTGGGGAGGTGTGTAGGTGTTTCCGTAGGGGCAACGACGGTGGAAAGTCCGAACCAAGTTCCCACCATGCACATTCCGCCTGAATATGCCGATTTGGCTCTCGCCTTCTGTAAAAAGAAAAGGCGACTCAATTACCACCCCATCGACAGGGGGATTGTGCGATAAACCTCCAAGTAGGCGCTGCGCTTCCCCGAAGTCATGTGTATCCTCTATCTCAGGAGGAGACGGCGGCTATGGAGACATATGTTACCGAATCTCTGAGACAGGGATACATACGGCCATCCACTTCCCCTGCGTCATCGAGTTTCTTTTTTGTGAAGAAGAAGGATGGTGGTTTACCACCTCGGGCCACTATAAGTACCTCGTCATGCCATACGGTTTGATGAATGCTCCTTCAGTCTTCCAATCGTTTGTGGATGAGATTTTCCGGGACTTGCATGGACAGGGTGTAGTGGTGTATATCGATGACATTCTAATATACTCCGCTACACGAGCCGAGCATGTGTCCCTGGTTCGGCGGGTGCTTGGTAGACTGTTGGAGCATGACCTGTATGCGAAGGCGGAGAAATGTCTGTTCTTCCAAGAGTCCATCTCCTTCCTGGGACACCGTTTGTCCGCGTCAGGTGTGGAGATGGAGATTGACCGCGTTTCGGCCGTGCGCAATTGGCAGACTCCCACCACGGTGAAGGAGGTGCAGCGGTTCTTGGGTTTTGCCAATTACTACCGGAGGTTTATCCGGGGCTTTGGGCAGGTAGCAGCTCCCATTACCTCCCTGCTAAAGGGAGGGCCGGTGCGTCTGCAGTGGTCGGCTGAGGCGGACAGGGCTTTTAGGCATCTGAAGGACCTGTTTACCTCGGCTCCGGTGCTGGCACATCCGGATCCCTCTTTGGCATTCCAAGTTGAGGTGGATGCGTCCGAGGCTGGGATCGGTGCTGTACTGTCTCAGCGCTCGGGTACGCCACCAAAACTCCGTCCCTGTGCTTTCTTTTCACTCTATTTGTGTTTACGCTCACCTACAGACCAGGTTCCCAGAACGCTAAGGCAGACGCCCTGTCCCGACTATATGACACCGAGGAGAGGTCCATTGAGCCCACTCCCATACTTCCGGAGTCTTGTCTGGTGTCACCGGTGGTGTGGGAGGTTGATGCGGACATCGAGCGGGCGTTACGCACCGATCCTACTCCCCCCCCCCCCAGTGTCCAGAGGGTCGGATGTACGTGCCGCTCGAGGTTCGTGATCGATTGATATATTGGGCTCACACGTCACCCTCCTCTGGTTATCCTGGTATCGGTCGGACAGTGCACTGCCTTAGTGGGAAGTACTGGTGGCCCACTTTAGCTAAGGACGTGAGGGTTTATGTTTCCTCCTGCTTGGTGTGCGCCCAGTGTAAGGTGCCTAGACACCTGCCCAGAGGGAAATTACAACCCCTACCCGTTCCACAACGGCCGTGGTCTTATCTATCAGTGGACTTTGTCATGGACCTTCCCCCCTCACAGGGGAACACTACGATCTTGGTCGTTGTGGATCGGTTTTCGAAGGCCTGCCGTCTCATTCCTATGCCAGGTCTCCCTACAGCCCTACAAACTGCTGACGCCCTGTTTACACACGTCTTCCAGCACTACGGGGTACCTGAGGATATAGTGTCTGATCGGGGTCCCCAGTTCACCTCTAGAGTCTGGAGGGCGTTTATGGAACGTCTGGGGGTCTCGATTAGCCTTACCTCAGGTTTTCACCCCGAGAGTAATGGGCAGGTGGAGAGAGTGAACCAGGATATGGGTAGGTTTCTGAGGTCCTATTGCCAGGACCAGCAGGGGGAGTGGTCGGGATATATCCCTGGGCAGAGATAGCCCAAAACACACTTCGCCACTCCTCAACTAACCATACGCCTTTTCAGTGTGTGTTAGGTTATCAGCCGGTCCTGGTACCTTGACGAGTGGTTTCGGCGCTCGGAAGAGACCTGGAACGCTGCGCATGTCCACCTGCAGCGGGCTATCAGGCGACAAAAGGCGAGCGCCGATCGCCACCACAGTGATGCTCCGGTGTATGCACCGGGAGATCGGGTCTGGCTCTCACCCGAAACCTGCCCCTTCGCCTGCCCTGCCGGAAGCTGGGTCGGCGGTTTGTAGGGCCATTTAAAGTCCTGAGGAGATTGAACGAGGTTTGTTATAGGTTACAACTTCCCATTAATTACCGTATTAACACCTCGTTCCATGTCTCTCCTCAGGCCGGTAGTAGCTGGTCCACTCCAGGACTCTGAGGTACGAGAGGTTCCTCCGCCCCCACTGGACATCAAGGGGGGTCCGGCGTACTCAGTCCGTTCCATCTTGGATTCGAGGCGTCGGGTGGGGGGGCCTGCAGTATCTCGTGGAGTGGGAGGGGTACGGTCCGGAGGAACGGTGCTGGGTTCCTAGGAGGGACATCCTAGATCCCTCCATGTTGAGGGATTTCCAACAGAATCATCCGACTCGCCCTGCTCCGCGTCCTCCTGGCCGTCCCCGAGGCCGGGGTCGGCGCACGGCTGGAGCCGCGCGTCAAGAGGGGGGGTACTGTCACGGATTCAGCCGAGGCTGCCCCTCCTTGCTCGGGCAGGCTTCGGCGTTCGTCGTCCCCAGAGTACTAGCTGCTACCGATCTATGTTTCTTGTTTGGTCTTTATTGTGTACACCTGTTTCCCATTATGTTGTCTTGTCTTCCCTATATAACCCTCTGTCTTTCATTGTGTGTTGTGTGTGATTGTATTCGTCATCGGCAGTAGTTTGTGTGTGGGTTGTTTTCCTCCCTGTGTGGAGGTTGTTTATACTCTGGTTACTTTCGAGTAAAGTATGTTTCCAGTAAGCTCTGTGTCCTGCGTTTGACTTCGCCTACCGCATTCACTGACGCTCTGACAACAAGTATTTGATACACTGCCGATTTTTCAGGTTTTCTTACTTACAAAGCATGTAGAGGTCTGTACTTTTTATCATAGGTACACTTCAACTGTGAGAGATGGAATCTAAAACAAAAAATCCAGAAAATCACATTGTATGATTTTTAAGTAATTAATTTTCATTTTATTGCATGACATAAGTATTTGATCACCTACCAACCAGTAAGAATTCCGGCTCTCACAGACCTGTTAGTCTTTAAGAAGCCCTCCTGTTCTCCACTCATTACCTGTATTAACTGCACCTGTTTGAACTCGTTACCTGTATAAAAGACACCTGTCCACACACTCAATCAAACAGACTCCAACCTCTCCACAATGGCCAAGACCAGAGAGCTGTGTAAGGACATCAGGGATAAAATTGTAGACCTGCACAAGGCTGGGATGGGCTACAGGACAATAGGCAAGCAGCTTGGTGAGAAGGCAACAACTGTTGGCGCAATTATTAGAAAATGGAAGAGGTTCAAGATGACGGTCAATCACCCTCAGTCTGGGGCTCCATGCAAGATCTCACCTCGTGGGGCATCAATGATCATGAGGAAGGTGAGGGATCAGCCCAGAATTACACGGCAGGACCTGGTCAATGACCTGAAGAGAGCTGGGACCACAGTCTCAAAGAAAACCATTAGTAACACACTACGCTGTCATGGATTAAAACCCTGCAGCGCACGCAAGGTCCCCCTGCTCAAGCCAGCGCATGTCCAGGCCCGTCTGAAGTTTGCCAATGACCATCTGGATGATCCAGAGGAGGAATGGGAGAAGGACATGTGGTCTGATGAGACAAAAATAGAGCTTTTTGGTCTAAACTCCACTCGCCGTGTTTGGAGGAAGAAGAAGGATGAGTACAACCCCAAGAACACCATCCCAACCGTGAAGCATGGAGGTGGAAACATCATTGTTTGCGGATGCTTTTCTGCAAAGGGGACAGGACGACTGCACTGTATTGAGGGGAGGATGGATGGGGCCATGTATCGCGAGATCTTGGCCAACAACCTCCTTCCCTCAGTAAGTGCATTGAAGATGGGTCGTTGCTGGGTCTTCCAGCATGACAACGACCCGAAACACACAGCCAGGGCAACTAAGGAGTGGCTCTGTAAGAAGCATCTCAAGGTCCTGGAGTGGCCTAGCCAGTCTCCAGACCTGAACCCAATAGAACATCTTTGGAGGGAGCTGAAAGTCTGTATTGCCCAGCGACAGCCCCGAAACCTGAAGGATCTGGAGAAGGTCTGTATGGAGGAGTGGGCCAAAATCCCTGCTGCAGTGTGTGCAAACCTGGTCAAGACCTACAGGAAACGTATGATCTCTGTAATTGCAAACAAAGGTTTCTGTACCAAATATTAAGTTCTGCTTTTCTGATGTATGAAATACTTATGTCATGCAATAAATGCAAATTAATTACTTAAAAATCATACAATGTGATTTTCTGGATTTTTGATAAAAAATTACAGACCTCTACATGCTTTGTAAGTAGGAAAACCTGCAAAATCGGCAGTGTATCAAATACTTGTTCTCCCCACTGTATGTGTTAACTTCCCCTTTAACTGACGGTATAACAACAGAATTTCCCCTTGGGGATCAATAAAATATCTAATGCAACCATTTCACAGTTTTGTTGTGGGATCGCCGTTAAACTCTAACTCACACAGTAATGATTTTTTGAAATCATCTATAGAATGGACTGAGAACAGCGAACAGAACAATTGAGTGTAATTCCCCCACTAATGGTTATTTTGGAATTGTTTGTCTCAGCATTCCTGAAATTTGACGTACCAGTTGCCAGCCAAATTAATGCAAAGCTGTATGGTGAGTCGGAAACTGAAGTTGATGGAGAAGTGTTTGAGAAGGTGCTGACACAGCCAAGTCCTGGTGTTTTCACAATCACACTGGACAACGATACTGATACTGGTATGTGTTGGTTTTTCACAGTAATAAAGTTAGAGGAGGGTTTAACTGTCGGCCTCTCCTTTGTATAGAGCTGTGTTGCTTTCTCACATTAATTTTGAATGTCTGTCTTTGTCAAAACCTTTGCAATAATCAACCACTTTGTGTGACAGTATCTTCCCAGATTACTTCCTCTTTTGCCAGTTCCTTGTTGGAGATCTTGTCCATTGAGTCGGATGATACTGTCATTCTGAGCGATGATGGGAGCCCTTCAAGAAAACGACAGAGAGCTGAGGATGAAGCTAAACATGTACGTTTCTGAGTGTAATGTAATGAGCCTCTGTTTAGAATCATTAATTGCTAACCTCTCTTTCTCTTAACTAATGTTCCGTATATCAGCTTACCCCCCTGATAGTTGGGAGCTGTAATCCAGTGCATACGTTTTTACCTGCAGTGTCCGATAAGAGCGGGTAAGGGTGGTTCTGGATTGTGCTTTATCATTTTATTTTAATAGTTAATCAATAACATACTGAAGAAGAAATCTGGTGGTGATCTTGTCATCAAGGAATACTCTCGAACCAAAGGGCTGACTGATGACACCAGACGAAAGATGATTAATATTCTCACAGCAGAGATGACCGAGACTCATGGGTAAACACTAAACCTGGCACGGAAGAAAGCTGTCTGTATCTAGGCTGTATTTCAGATGAATGTTGCAATTATAGCGACCGGAATCAACAGGGGGCTTCATTGCAAATGGATTAATAAAGTACTCTTCTTGTCAGGACATCACCATCCACGCCATGTGAGGGAGACATGTGCTCAAGGAATTGTCAACTTGTTCCCTTACCTCAAGGACCCCTACAAAACTAAAGGATATGTGAGTATTAATTGGCCAAAATGTTTTTGTATGTGCCACATTTTGCATGCATTTGGGTTTTGGATTGCATGTTACATATTTTGCAATTGGTGTCTGATTAGGAGTGTTAATGTATGTGTTGCTGTGACTTTTCCATTGTGTTTAGATGAGTGAATGTGTTCTCCTTTTCTTCAAGGAACATTATTTTGACCCTCAAACTGGAAATGGTTACTTGTCCTGGAAAATCTAAACCATCCAGAGGAATTCAGCTTCATCTGAGAAATGACCATCTAGCCAGTCATTCAGTGGTGGCCCAACAGCTGAGAAAGAGACTTCACCCCGTCCAGAGATTACCCTGATTGATGAACAGTGCAGGGAGGCCATTTCCCCGATGAAGCATTCTTCTGATGAGGCTACCATTAAGCAGAAGATGAAGATGACATTTGAATACAGACAGAAGATGACTGAATTTCCACAGTTCATGGATATGAAGTGCCTGGTAAGCTTTTCAAATTCAACATTTCAAACAGCATCACCTTATTGGCATCCTTCCTTGAATCCGAACATTTAGAGCTTGATTGCTTTGGCAGTTTCTTAACTATTGTGCTATTGTATTACATTTTGCTCAGTATCTTTCTGTGTTTAGGATGGACAGTGACCTCTCCTCCATCCTCCTCTTGCTCCATTTGATTCTCCCTTCATCACAAGGCCGCAAAAGACCAGGCAAGGTGTCTGCCTCTCAAGCTGAGAAGCATCTTGTCATATTCAAAAAGGTTTGTTTTGGTCTCCTTATCGGAGTACCTAGTGTCACGGTTTATTGAATCCAAGCCACTATACAATTGGTGAATTTGAAATAATGGTAGTGTTTCTTTTGTTGTTTTTGTCTTCAGGCAGGAACCAGTATCCAGGAACACCTTGATGCCATTGCCCAAAGCAGTCAAACGTACCTCCTTGCTGTCGGGACCAAGAGAAGCAGCATCCATAGTTACTTCATCATCCTGGACAAGCAAGCTCTGCCATGAAACTCTACAAGCGCTCTTGGTGCCTTCGATGAGCTCTTCAAGACACTTTTTGTTTGGGACCTCTTACAATCTGATGCTGCACAGTATGTACACCTTCATACAGACAACTGTGTCCAATATAGATATTGGGAAGGTTAAGGAGAGTCCATGTGTTGCAGAGCTTAGAGCTAGATTCCTACACTTAAGCAGAAATATTGAGTTCAAATATGATTTGTTTTGTTTGTCAAGCTAGTCATTGGAGTACAAACTTGCTTGTTAGGCATCTCAAGTTGATTCATGGACTTTGCCCTGGTAAAACACTTAAGCTGAAATATGGTCAAACAGGTTGTTGTCATGTATTTGGTACTTTTTCAGGCTTAAGGAAACATGGTACATGAAGGACAAGATTATGTTCTATTGAACACTGAAATGGATGCGAATACAAATGTTGATAGTCAACCAAGTGATGTCATGCCTACAACGTCTTATGTCTTGCCAATATCCAACAAGAACACCCTTGATTTGTGTGCGTCAGCTATTGCACAACTGCAGGCTGCGGGTGTAGGTCAGACAACTGTAAATAGTTTTGTATCTTCCATGGAAGAAGCAGTTATTGAGATACAGGGTCAAGCTAAAGAGACAGCTCTGAAATGTACACTGCTCAAAAAAATAAAGGGAACACTTAAACAACACAATGTAACTCCAAGTCAATCACACTTCTGTGAAATCAAACTGTCCACTTAGGAAGCAACACTGATTGACAATAAATTTCACATGCTGTTGTGCAAATGGAATAGACAACAGGTGGAAATTATAGGCAATTAGCAAGACACCCCCAATAAAGGACTGGTTTTGCAGGTGGTGACCACAGACCACTTCTCAGTTCCTATGCTTCCTGGCTGATGTTTTGGTCACTTTTGAAGGCTGGCGGTGCTTTCACTCTAGTGGTAGCATAAGACGGAGTCTACAACCCACACAAGTGGCTCAGGTAGTGCAGCTCATCCAGGATGGCACATCAATGCGAGCTGTGGCAAGAAGGTTTGCTGTGTCTGTCAGCGTAGTGTCCAGAGCATGGAGGCGCTACCAGGAGACAGGCCAGTACATCAGGAGACGTGGAGGAGGCCGTAGGAGGGCAACAACCCAGCAGCAGGACTGCTTCTCCGCCTTTGTGCAAGGAGGAGCAGGAGGAGCACTGCCAGAGCCCTGCAAAATGACCTCCAGCAGGCCACAAATGTGCATGTGTCTGCTCAAACGGAAAAACAGACTCCATGAGGGTGGTATGAGGGCCGACGTCCACAGGTGGGGTTTGTGCTTACAGCCCAACACCGTGCAGGACGTTTGGCATTTGCCAGAGAACACCAAGATTGGTAAATTCGCCACTGGCGCCCTGTACTCTTCACAGATGAAAGCAGGTTCACACTGAGCACATGTGACAGACGTGACAGAGTCTGGAGACGCCGTGGAGAACGTTCTGCTGCCTGCAACATCCTCCAGCATGACCGGTTTGGCGGTGGGTCAGTCATGGTGTGGGGTGGCATTTCTTTGGGGGGCCACACAGCCCTCCATGTGCTCGCCAGAGGTAGCCTGACTGCCATTAGGTACCGAGATGAGATCCTCAGACCCCTTGTGAGACCATATGCTGGTGCGGTTGGCCCTGGGTTCCTCCTAATGCAAGACAATGCTAGACCTCATGTGGCTGGAGTGTGTCAGCAGTTCCTGCAAGAGGAAGGCATTGATGCTATGGACTGGCCCGCCCGTTCCCCAGACCTGAATCCAATTTAGCACATCTGGGACATCATGTCTCGCTCCATCCACCAACGCCACGTTTCACCACAGACTGTCCAGGAGTTGGCGGATGCTTTAGTCCAGGTCTGGGAGGAGATCCCTCAGGAGACCATCCGCCACCTCATCAGGAGCATGCCCAGGCATTGTAGGGAGGTCATACAGGCACGTGGAGGCCACACACACTACTGAGCCTCATTTTGACTTGTTTTAAGGACATTACATCAAAGTTGGATCAGCCTGTAGTGTGGTTTTCCACTTTCATTTTGAGGGTGACTCCAAATCCAGACCTCCATGGGTTGATACATTTGATTTCCATTGATAATTTTTGTGTGATTTTGTTGTCAGCACATTCAACTATGTAAAGAAAAAAGTATTTAATAAGATTATTTCATTCATTCAGATCTAGGATGTGTTATTTTAGTGTTCCCTTAATTTTTTTGAGCAGTGTATATCTTCACAGCACACAGAAATGCTAGGCAAAATCCAGCAGTCTTTTCAGGATATTGAAAACCCTTTCACTTCATTGAATTCCGAATCGAAATGAAAAAAGTATTTTGCACAGAAATGGGAAACTGTTAACCCGGTGGAGAAAGTGCTTGGTGTTAGATTTGATAATAAAAGAAACAAAACAACTGGAACTTATGATCAAGTAGTCGTATCTTACAATTTTGTTTATGTTCCAATTCTTCAGACGTTGCAGTCCATTTTCAAGAACCCAAACCTTAGTGATATGTTCAAGTCGAGTCACAATTTCGAAGGAGTTTACTTTGATTTGGAAGATGGATTGTATATTAAGAGACATCCCCTCTTCTCCAAAGAAAAAAATTGGTTGCTTTTATGACTTTGAGACAGCCAATCCATTGGGATCAAATAAGGGTATTCACAAGTTGGGGGGTATATACTTCACTTTGAGAAATTTCCACCAAAATTGAATGAATCTTTAGTCAATATACACTTACAGTATGTGCGCTCTTCCAAACCCTTAAAATGTATGGATTAGATGCCATACTAAAGCCAATTGTAAGTGACCTGAAAGTGCTTGAGACTGAGGGAATTGAAGTTTCCATGTTTAATGGTTGTGTTCATGTCAGTATTGTCCAAGTTACTGATGATAATCTGGGTATACAGTGGGGAGAACAAGTGTTTGATACACTGCCAATTTTGCAGGTTTTCCTACTTACAAAGCATGTAGAGGTCTGTAATGTTTATCATAGGTACACTTCAACTGTGAGAGACGGAATCTAAAACAAAAATCCAGAAAATCACATTGTATGATTTTTAAGTAATTAATTTGCATTTTATTGCATGACATAAGTATTTGATAAGTCAGAAAAACAGAACTTAATATTTGGTACAGAAACCTTTGTTTGCAATTACAGAGATCATACGTTTCCTGTAGGTCTTGACCAGGTTTGCACACACTGCAGCAGGGATTTTGGCCCACTCCTCCATACAGACCTTCTCCAGATCCTTCAGGTTTCGGGGCTGTCGCTGGGCAATACGGACTTTCAGCTCCCTCCAAAGATTTTCTATTGGGTTCAGGTCTGGAGACTGGCTAGGCCACTCCAGGACCTTGAGATGCTTCTTACGGAGCCACTCCTTAGTTGCCCTGGCTGTGTGTTTCGGGTCGTTGTCATGCTGGAAGACCCAGTCATGACCCATCTTCAATGCTCTTAC